CCCCATGTCCATGCAATACTGTAGAGTCGCTTCAACCAATGCAACCCCACAACATCCAGAGTCTTAAGGAACTCCGGGCGAATCTCGCCCTGCCACCCAGGAGCTTTTTCACCTCCTCAGTGACCTCAGCACCAGAGATTGGAGAGTTCGACCCAGGGTCCCCAGGCTGTGCTACCTCATTGGAAGACGTGCTAGTGGGATTTAGGAGGTCTTTGAAGTATTCTGCCCACCGACCCACAACATCCTGAGTTGAGGTACAGAAGTCTTTTTCCATGGCCTCTCTGAACTCCTCCCATGCTTTCAACCACTGTCCAGCACACATTTCACCCTGCCCCTTCTGCCCCCTCCCACACTTGGTGAGCCCATGGGAAGGGGGACCCACGTCTCCTCTTCAGGCTGATCCTGGCCAGGCTCCAGGGGCAAAAGCCTGGCAAACAGGCGCTTGCCAGTGTGCCCCACCTCCAGGCCTGGCTCCAGAGTGGGTCCCCGATGATCCATGTCTGAGCGGGAGAACACTGAATGCATTTATTTTATTCATCATAAGGGGTCGTTGGGCTGCACTTTGTCTGATCCTTCACCTAGAACTTGATTGCTTTGGGTGACCGTATGAAGCCCCTGACAATATAGGATCACTGGGACACACAAACCTCTCCAACATGATAAGTTGGCAGCCCAGGGAGAGCTTTGATCTACTGCTTTGCTAATTTTAGTTTCTGCTGGTTTAATCTTTTACTTTCAGTTTTGCTAATGCTATCTTTTAGCCACTGCTTTAGTCTTTTTTAGCAACATGTTTTGCTTATTTTGGCTGCATTTACTGCTTTGTTGATCTTAACTTTTAGCTTTGAATGCTTAATACTTGCTTTAGTTTTGCTTTTTTAATTTAGCCAAGTTTAGTTTTTAACTGCTGTTTTGCTGGTTTTACATGCTTGCTGGTCTTTCTGGAACTATTTAGCAAAAATGAGCTTATAGTTATTGTTTTGCTAATTTTAGCCTCTGATCTGATTGTGAAAATTAATAATTCATTTTAAGGTTTTTCAACACGTTTCAGAATTTACACTCTAATTTAGCATTGAAAAGCTAGTTTTTTTTCATTTGATTTAAGTTTGTGTGTTGTTATTGTCTCTCTCCAGAACACGTTGGCTGAAAGACTAAAACCCATCATATATTGTTTTATGATGCTCTGCAGAAAAACTTAATGAAAGGCATTTCAAGTCTGTAAAGTTTACTGTTTTGTTTTGGCAATGCAACAGTTTTTTTTTTTCAAAACAAACACAGACAGAAACAGCAGCTCACACACACTTTGCCAAAGGAAAAAAAAATCAAACACATATGATCGTTGAGCCTCGCATAACAACCCCATCACACACACACACTGCAGTTCAGCTCCACTCTTCCCTCTGTCTTTCCTTTCCTCCCTCTGGCTGTCTTTTGACACCATGAGTCCTGATTCTGCAGCTGCTGATTGGCTGCTTGCTGCTCTGAGCGAAACCCAATGTGGAAAAACTGACCACAGACACATGTAAGAGCTGAACTTTACAAACAGCTCCAGCTGTGTATGAGAGACCGTCTGTTCCTTTGTGTGATCAGAATGTGACAGAAATACAGAGCTTTGTTCTTCCGTACATTTGGACTAACTTTACCAGAGGATGAAGATGGCAGTGAAGACTCAGCTTCTGAAAGCTGACTGGAGTTTTTGCAGCTGGATGTTTTCTAGACCTCATTGGGCTTGGATACAGTAATAATTCAGTCATATGGGAGTTTCTGGGAGGTGTAACCATGAAGAGAGTCAAACATGTTATAGGTAAGATAAGACTTGTTGGGGAGGTAGTGTTCTCTGAATGGAATGGAGCCTTCTTCTCTTGTTTGGAATGCAGACTTTGCTGCTGGAAGTGTTTGGAGCAGACATGGAGAGGCTGCACCTCATGACCAAAGCTGAGCATGACATCTCACGATGCTGCATGAGATTATTTATAATGTTTGTTTTCAAGGTTTGACCAAAACAGCTGCGGCTGTGACATTTCTCCAAATACGACGAGCCTGTCCTTTGAGGAATGCTAAGATTTTTTTTTTCTCTTTTGTGAATTTGATTTCATGCTTTCTGAAGGTTCCAGTAGCAGCTCTGGTTGTGTTTAGGAGGTAAATCCCATAACTCCAGTTCTGTTCTGGCTGCCTAACACAACAGAGCTTTTTCCCTTGATGCTTTTTGCCCTCTTTCAAATGAACCTCTTGTGAGTTGGCAGTTTATAACAAAGTTTTCTGTACAACTGTCTTTGGTGAGTTTCTAAAACAGATGGTTTCTTTTGAGGTTTTAAAGTATTCATGCTTGCCATCTGTCTGCACTGTGTCTCTGTGCTTTGTTGTTCCAACAGAAAACAGGATCTCTCTGTGGAATAACAGGTTGGATAGCAGTTTCTGCTTTATAATCCTGGGAAACATTTCACGGTAGCAATATATAAGAAAGTCTTATATATACCAGGTACGTACCCTGTAAGTACGTGATAGTAACCAGGCAAGCACTGGGTACGTACCAGGTACGTTATCTGCTTCCTCTCATTGCACATTGCACCACACAGCTCACACTGAATGCGTGCATCTGCCAATAAGTTTTCAAAGGCTGGGACCTCATCATTGGACCACAGAATCACTTTTGGTGCCTCTGTTGCAGTCAGCCAACACTTGAAACGCCAAGCAATGCTACCTACTTACCTGTAGATGGGCACTCCTTGCCCCAAACGGTGCAGTTCCCTTGGAACAACCTTAGAGGTGGTACCCCAAATTGGGCTGACAGGGGGTGGGAGCTTGTCTAACACAATATGATTTCGCTTCACTTCAATTCACAAGTCTTCGATTGATATGATGCAATGTCCTATGCACATCTAACAAATGATTATGTTAGATGGGCATATGATATTGATCCACGTTGGACATATGATGACGGCAGATCAATTTTTTTCATTTTGAGGCATTAATCATTTAATCCAGTGGTTCTCAAATTTGGGGTCGGGACCCAAAGTGGGGTCCTGAAACATCAAGGTGGAGTCCTGAAAATTTTTTCTAAATTAATTACATTTTTGCCTTAGTTGCCTAAAATGTATAAATGTAGAATAATAAATATTGTTAATATGACCATGTTTTGTTGATCTGATACAAATGTTTATCATCCAAAAATAGTTGTGGGCACAGGTCTCTGCTACTGTTGTTTTGTGGGTCAAAAGCTGAAAAGTTTGGGAACCACTGATTTAATCGATAGCTTGATGTGAATCGATGTATTGTTACATCCCTAGTGCATACCACTTGAAAATAAGTCCCTGGTGCATACCCAGTACAAAATATGTAAGTACCCAGTATGCACAAGGGAAAAAAAAGGTGCTCAGATTTGCAGAATTTTCATTCAATTTTTTTTTGCTTGTTTTCAGTAAAATGAACACACACACTTCTGAAAGTTTCTGTTTCAGGACCCAGGATGCAGACAGACACGAGAAGAACTCAAAGCAAAGAGTTTAATAAAGGAAAAACAAGGGTCCGACATAGTGGCAAAATTTATATGGAAAAGTAAGAGGCAACCAAGAAATACATGGGGAGGAAATGCCAATGCCAATCTGAGGAGTAGGAGACTGTATATATAGAGCAGCAGGGGCTGAGGAGAATATGGAAGGCAGCTGGAGGGACTGGGGAGTGACAACAGGTGAGAGTGACTGATCACTCAGGGAAAAGACAGAAAGCAGATTGAGGGAGGAAATGAGAGGTGGCGCAGGGGAGACACCGAGGAACAGAAACACAAGGCATAATAATAAACAAGGGAATGAGAAGGAGAAACTAAAACACAAAGAACAAATAAAACATGACCCAAAAGACACGACTATGACGGAACTTTTCTGTTCTGGTTCTAGAGTATTGTTTTCATTTACCTGGTAGTTTTCAAAAGTTCTATTTTAGGTTAAAAAGATGGCATTTTTTGCGCATGTGATGATCCAGTGTGTGGTGGAAACCTCGGTACGTCAGCAGACTGAGTGAACAGAGGTACATTGATTGGTAAAGACTCTGCTTCTCCTCCTGACCTTCTCCACCCCCTGCAGCACACAAACCTACTCAACCAAGTTTCAGATGAATAAAGTCAGCTCAGGATGAATATGTCTTTATTCTCAGTGACAGAGGATGTTTTGTTCCACATATGCTGCATTTAGAGCTTCAGACGGCAGGGGAACCCTGCTCATTAAAACTCCTGCATAGTTTTGTCTTTTTAATGTCAAAAGATTTTCTTTGAAATGTTAAATAATGTCGGCCCTGTTGATGGACTTGCGGCCTGTCCAGAGTGTACTCTGCCCTTGGCACTGTGACTGCTGGAAATGAGCACCAGGGACCCTGAAAGAAAGAGGTAAAAGATAATGGATGGATGGATTTTAAATATATCATACACTAACTAATCATCACCTAAAAGAACTGGGATGTACAAACCGAAAAACCAACAGAAAGCAATTATTAACACAGAAACAGAAACGAATGAGGCAAAGAAATCAGTCTTGGATTTGGAAGGGAACCGCCATGTATTGCAGATCTGTATTGGGCGAAGTGATGAAGCTGAAACTTTGTCCAATGAAATGTCTGAAGATGGCTACCTGACAGAAACATGTGAATAAATCATTGATGATGATCTGGACATGGTGTCAGATAAAGACACAGAGAAGATGGTGGTCATTTCATCTTCATTAAATGCCAAAGTCTACAGGGCACCTTTCTTATTCTGTCAGGTTTGGTTCTATTTTATGAACCAAAGCTGAATCTCAAACTAACCAGTGAAAATAATGTCTGTCTTTGTCTACAGTTTGGTCTAAAAGCTGCCTGTATGATTTACCTTTGTGGTGTGATTACCTGTAACCCGGCAGGCTTGAATTTTGTCGTCTTCTGATCTGAATAAAATGCTCTGTTATAATCTCCTACACTGAATGTAAACCTGAGTGTTTTTATCTATCGATCTGATCCTTGTGTTTCTTTGCTTGTAGATGAGATCATGCAGCAGGACATCAGGCCTCTTCTGGCCGTGGACATCATAGAGCAGCTTCATCGCCAGTTTGCCGTGTTGGCAGGTCAGTAAGAAGCCGCTCTGCCTCTGCTGTGTTCTCAGAGTTCTGAAGTCTCTATTTATAGAAGGTTAAAAACTTCTTACAGATGGTTCACACTGAGTGCCTTACTGCAAATATGGCATTTGTATTAAAAAGATAAAGGTCTAGAATTCTTTGAAGGAATGCACATAACACACGATCTTTAATGACATTGTTTTAAATGAAGGTGTAGAAAGGACAGATTTGTTGCCATTTTGATCAAATGTTGCAGATGACATTGTGGCCTGCGTCCTTCGAAGGACTCAGCCTACCCAATCTCGGTGGGCCGGGTCTTTGGTAGACTGCGAAGACCGTAAGAAAGTGGCTGTGAATATGGACGGTCTAGCCTTCTGCTTTATTCCCGCCCTCACCATGACGTATGTCCTGTTGCCTGTCAACCGTGACGACACTAAACAGAACCAAAAATAGATAAAAATGAGCAAAATGTCATATATTTGAAGAACTAAGGGATCTGTCATATTATTTACATACCTATTTTGCTATACAAGTTCATACTCATTTGATTTCTGACAAGAATAATATTTAAAATAATGTCTATGTAAATGACAAGTACATTACCATAACTGCTTTAAACTTTAATTTGTCTTATGCCAGATTTTTGTTTAAAACTATACTCCATTCTCTCGCTTCGTCCACCATTATGAGCAAAAAAGTAAAAATCTCAGGTTGGCTCGCAATGCATTATGGGATAGGCCTGGGCCAAGAAGGATCCATCGGAGCTGTGCCTCAAACCAGGCGAAAGGAGGACGCATTTGTAGGCTGCCTCAGAGGAGTCTTTGACTTTGGACAGCCTCAGGCGCAGCGCAGTGACATCAGTGTGGTATTTGGAGGATGCAGCCCCTGAATTCGGACACAGCGTTTGCGTGAGCATCATTGTGAGACGTGGAATGATTGTCAGCCACTACCACACCAACGTTTGTCTCAATTTCCGCAAAACTGTCAAAGTTCAGAGTCTTTTGTCTCGACCCTTTGCACGTGACGTCACGCTCTTCAGAAGACCACCCACTTCACCATGACAAACATCAAAAACAACACTCCTGTCAAGCTAGTCAAAAAGCAGACAGTTTGTAGACAGAGGGTCCTCACAATAAACACACACTCACCCTTACACACAAGCCCCCAATCCTGTAGCTGTGGTGGCCATCTTCAGTGACAGTGAATCAGTCGATGAATATCAAACGATCCCCTCCTGAGAGTTTCCTTCAAATCCATAAATGGTTCATGAAACATTTTGCTAACAAACAGGAAAGATTTGACTCCAAAATTTCAAACACAAATCTTGTACGAGTTAGTGGTCACACTAAATGTCTTCCTCAGTATCTGTAAGATTAGCTGGGTTAAACTAATGGTTGTGTTTGCTAAGAATGCTTAGCTGTGGCGGCCATCTTGAGTTGGGTTGGTCAGTTGTACAAATACGTCCAACGATTACTTCCTGAAAGTTTCATTAAAATCTGTAGACAGCAGGGAGAAACAAACACACAGGCAAAAGCATAATCAGCCTTTTTTCCCTTTTCACTCCCCCCTCATATCCGGTGAATCTGGGTGCCCTCAGAGTTTCCACATGTTCAGTTAGTTTTGTGTTGAGGCAGCAGGCCTGTGTGGTTGAGCAGAGATGCCTCTCATTCCTCCGTCCTCACAAACAGAAACACTCAGAATAACAGGTTTTAATATAAAAAAATCCTCTGTCAGCAGATCGTTTCTCTATGGAAGCCCATTTCCGCCACCCTGATAAAAAAATAAATAAAACTTGTATCTCATAATAATGAGATAGCTAAGTCATAATTATGAGATAGCTAAGTCATAATTATGAGATACAAGTTTTATTTTTTTATCAGGGTGGCGGAAATGGGCTTCCATATTTCTCCACATGAGTTAAAACAAGCTTTCATACTGGTGGAGGTTTTCTCAGGGACATTTTGGTTGGTTTATTCTTGGACGAACATATATTTGTTGTTGTTACCTGTTCATGTTTCAACATTTATAAACTGGGACCATCATCAGCGATGCCTAAAATAGGCTTTATTGTTATTGCACCAGATTACAATGACATTTGGGGCTTCCATGAGTGAAAAAGTAAAAAAAAAAAGTGTAAAAGGTAAACGCAGTAAAATTATCTATTTACACTAATGATGTAAGGAGAACACATTTAAACAAGATTATTGCACAAAAGTAGTCAGATCAAGTTTAAAAACATATAAAAATGGCTGCCAGAGCTACAATCCAACTTTAAGGCCCTGTCACACTATAAAGTTTTTAGACAACTTATGAATTTTTTTTGTCTAAATTACTAATAAAAGTTGTATTTGATCAGTTTGTTAGCATTACAGTATGTACAAACTTAAAAGAGGCTTCCAGTTACATTTTTTAATTCCATCTTCAATGTCTTATAAGTTGGCATATGTTGTTTAAAACATTAGTATGGCAGGGCCTTTAGAAAACACAAAATTAGCTCTAAATGTATCAGTTTTATGAAAAATTAACTGAAGTTTGGTGTGTAGCTGAGCATCATTCATAATGCATACTCATGTGATGTCTAGTGATGTTGTTATTATTGAGATTTGATCAAAACACTTTTAAATAATTTCTCAATTTAAAATAATTGTAGGTGGTTGATATGCAATCCTTCAAGGAGTGTTAGGCATTTAGTTATGTAGGTATCTGATGAATAAAGAAACAATAATTTATTTGGTTCTTTATGTTCTGTTTGCTTTTGTTCTAACTTTATGTGTTATTTTATCAACATAATGGCAAAATGTTGTTTTCTCTTCAAGGGTGCCATCTTCTGGTGTTTTACCCAAAGTACAAGTCCTGCTCAGGAAAATGTGCTTTACTAAAAACGTTTATTTATTTATTTACTTTTTTTATTTTTTTTTACTGTATTTTCCTAGCAACAAATGTGTGCTAAATCACTCCACCCTTTGAAGGTTTAAATGGAAATAAAAAAAGAGGCAGTGAATGACTTTGCAGCTGGTCTGGTGATCAAAAAGGAAATGTTTGACAGAGTCGGTCACAACTGGAGACACTTAGGGATCATCCGTTTAGTTTTTCAAGTAAATAAAAACCGTTAAAACCACACATTCCTGCTGAACAGACAACTTTTAAGGGTTTCTTTTGTTTTGAGTTCTTTTTTTGTTTTGTTTAGTGCACTGTGATCCAAAAGTTTAAACATCTATGGCAAATTAAAAAAACATGATGCAAAGTTATGCATTATGAAAAATTCCACAACAACAACAACAACAACAACAACAACAACAACAACAACAACAACAACAACAACAACAACAACAAGAGTAAATGCCCACTTGGCTTAAAAAGGATTTCAAAGTAAAAGCACAGATTTATTTGGCCTCCTGCAGATGGTTATTGGGCTGGTTGTGTCCATATGTTAGAATCATGGAGGTAACCTACTACATGTCTTTGGACTGTGGGAGAAAACCCACTCATGCACAGAGAAAACATGTTTACATCACACGTAGAGGTCTTGACTGGGAGTCAAACCCACCTTGGTGTTGTGAGGCAACAATACTGACCACTGCACCAACGTGCGGCATACCAGCATGAGGTTCATTGTAGGGAAGCAGGAATCAAACTATAAATGTTGTTTTTCTCCTGAACCACATATATCAAAATTTCAGAAATGTTTAGTTGTCAGCATTTTGTATTATTTATTTATTTATTTATTTATTTATTTATTTATTTATTTATTTATTTATAAACAGTAACAATGTGATCATTATGTATCTGCAAACTGAAGGGATGGTTGGTAAATGTTGCATGTGGTGTGTTTGTGCTGCAGGTGGGCGAGGGAAAGATGGCGCCCCTATCATCACGTTCCCAGAGTACTCAGGCTTCAGTGAGGTGCCAGAGGAGGATTTCCTTAATGTAGTTACTTACCTGACCAGCATCCCCAGGTGTGTTTGCTCACCCACCCCATACACACACACACACACTTCTTCAGACCCTCACGTTCTGACTTCAGCCAAAACTCTATCAATAGTGTGAGCATCAGGTGTCAGAGAAACATTTAGTTCTTAGCTGTCAGTTTATCTGAAAGTTAAAATTTTTGAATCAACGTTCAGGTAGCAATGCTTAATACAGCTCAGTACTTACCTGGTAAGTACCGGGTACCACTGAGAACCAGCTGTATTATCGACTTGATACCTACAGCAGGGGTGTCAAACTCATTTTCACTGAGGGCCACATGAGTGTTTTTGGCCCTCACTCAAAGGACCATTTGTTCTTAACTTTAACAAAAAATACAAACACCATGTTTCTTGTCTCATTACTACGGCTGAGCAACACTAACAAACAATAACTGAGCTCTACGTGGTTTTTCATGCATAGAAAGTGTTTTAACCCTCTTATAAACACTGAAAAGTTCTGTGTAAGACTGACTAAATGTGAATAAATAATACAGAAATGCTATTAAAAATTAGAGAGTTTTACTCACCAGTGTGTTTTAGTGAGTAGCTGCTAGCTCAAATTCTGAACTCTCCCACAGGGACTTCCTACTGGAGGGCATTTCAGGTTAAATTTACGACTTGTAAGTGGGAAATTTCTACTTCTCAGTTCAACTGTAGCAAAAGTAACCAACAAAAATGCAGTTAAATGGAGATTTTACATGCTGTCATTTCACAGGTAAAATAATTGACATGTATTATGGGAAATGCAGTTTATGGTCAATGCTGGCTTTCCAAACCAACTTTTTTGAGCTTTAGTATGTCATGTTATAATGCACAACTTACCCAGAGTGTTGCTTTGACTCATTATGAATGTTTGAGAAATCCTTGAATCTTCTGTGGTAGATTTGTGGAGCTGCCTAAACATTTACTGGTACAAAACTCCACCTATTTACACAAAGCTCCTCCCAGGAGCTCAGTCTGCAGCACCCCTCCCCTGAAGCATTCTTGTGAAGATGTGCTGAGGAGGGAGCGTCAGAAACAGTAGGACTGTGATGCAAAGTCAGATTTATTTTTGATATAAGCAGCGTCAAATCAACTGAAGGCAACATACTTTTATTTTGTTCAGATCAATACCCCTAACTATGGGCAAGGGCTGCAAATTAGCTTTTAGCTAGAAGCCTTGTGCATGCTGGATCAGTTGCCTATGTGTGGTAATGTTTTGTTGTTCTGTCC